TTTTTTTTTTTTTTTTTTTTTTTTTGAAGGGAAACCCATAAAGCAACCCTGTAAAGGCCTTTATTTATTTATATATTTATTTATTTACTGCAACAATTCCGATATCCATTCAATGTGCGGCAACTCGGATTCCGACGCCTCCAACTCAGAGCTCCGTTCATTTCCCAGTCCGTCGCTGATCTCCTTCACCGGAATTTCCGAAACGCCGTCGTTCTTTCTCTCCACTGGATATTTAAGTGCGGCCAGCGCCGCACGCTCCACGGGAGCAGCAAAATGAAGCTTGTTTTTGGTCTCAGGGCGGAGCTCCTCCGGCGAGTGAGCAAAAAAACAAACTTTGCGTTGGCAAAACCTGCCCGCATTACAGGCCCGGGTCCGGTACCGGGTCGGGTGGAGCCAGAACTCGAAAACCCCATGAGCAAATTCACAAAAATCCCCCTTTGGGCAGCTGCCCGTCCGAAAGGCAGGGCAAGCCACAGCAGAGTAGTTAAACCGCCGTGGGTCACGGCGTTGCGCCTTCTCGCCGCGGTGGGCATAAGGACATTCCGTCCAATCATGGCTGCGGGATTTCGGACACCGTTGGATCTTGAAAGCGTACATCCGAAACTCGTCGGAGTTGAACAGCGCCGTGTCATTGGTTTGTGGCGTTAAGCGAGTGTTCCTGTAAGCGAATTCCGGTAGCGCCACGGCGGTGAATTCGTGACCGTACACGTCATTGATGCCGAAAACAAACCCTTGAAACATTTTTTTCTTCTTTTTTTTTCGTTTATGAAAATTAAAAAATTAAATATACAAATAACAACAGCAGCTTTTTTGTTGAATCAAGACATGTTTTTATAATATATATATACAAATATTAATTCACCTGTAAGAAGAACAAATATATTAAAAAGACTGAAACTTTGGGGGAAAATTAAAAAGAAAATAAAAAAGAATTATATGGGAAGTGTGAAAATATTAAATGTGTTACCTGAGAGAGAGAAGGGGTTGAGGAAGAGGAGAGAGAAATGCCATTGTTGGGTAAAGGAGAGAGGTTGAGAGCTCCAAAGGGAATAAACGAAGCTCACTGCAAAATGTTGGATTAGAGTGGCTTCATTTATAGAACAAACACAACAGGGTTTTACATGCTTTTTTTGCTTTCTTTTTTCTTTTTCCTTTTGTTCCTCTTCAATAAAACAAAAAAAAAACAAAAAAAAAATCGTGTTTAACAAAATAATAATAATAATAATCATAATAAATTATTTTAAATAAATTCATGAATTATAAAAAAAATTGCCATGGACCAAATAATTTGAATTTAAAACATTGAGAAAGGTTAAAGATTTAATTCCCGTGAAAAGGATTTATTAGACATTTACTACGGTAAAATTCTGATTCTATAGATATTTAATGTAATGGTCTAAGCACCACTGCTAGCAAATATTACCATTTTTAGGCTTTCCTTCAAGACTTTAAAATGGGAAAATGGGTATGCTAGGGAAAGGTTTCTACACCTAGCGGTGGATTTGGGCGGTTACAAATGGTATCAAAGCTAGACACTGAACCATGTGTCAACCTTCTCGCTGTTCTCCGAAGGAGTAGACAC